CAAGTAGGATATAAAAATTTTATTTTTGGAAAATAATGATTTTTGGAATTTTTAAATATCCAGAAATAATTTTTAGAAACTAATTCGGTTTCCTACAAATTAAATTTTATAAATTCGAAATAATATTTTATAAAATCTGAAAATTTGGTTTTCATATTTGGTATGCGACAAAATATCTATTTTGAAAATATTGATTTTTGGAATATTAGGAATATTCATAATTAAGTTTGGCAATTAATTTATGTCTCTACGCCTAATTGTATATATCCAAAAATAATAATTTATGAATTCTGGAAATTTAATTTTCACGTTAAATAAATCAAAACATACATTATGGAATTAATTTTCTAATTTTCTAAAGGTATAAGTATTTATTTCTAATTAAAAACCCAACTTTGAAATTAATACCTATATTTACGATAATATATTATTTTAAAAATGTGGAATTTTCATAATGTTGTTTTGAATATTTTGGAGTTTTAAATTATTTTTTAATGAAATTATTTGATAGTTTAATTATTTGTTTTAGAATTATAGTTTATTTTCTCGTAGAATAAACTTTGTCTGGTGAGAGCGTGGTTCGCCCGGTATTTGCTTAATTGTTTACATGTGATGTATGTCTGCTATGTATGGTGTATGGTTGTGGCTTAGTATTATTATTATTTTTAAATACGGCTTGCGTGTCGTGCATTATCTCTTTATTTCTGAATGTAGAACTCTCTCTTGAATCTCATACCCCTTGCATGTAACGCAAGGATTCTTTTCTTTGAAATTATGTAAACGTTATTTTCAAGGAAAGATCAGCATGGCCGGAGAGCGTTGATGAACAAATAATCACTAAAGAGAAAGAAGATGATGGGCCGGAGATAGAGATCTCTCAAGAAATGGCGCTATCGTTAGTTTTTCTTTAGGAACCACAACCATATCACGTTTATTTATATATGGTGTTATGTATGAATGTATGTATACGCTAGTGCATGCGCACGACACATGTCATAGGTGAGACCACGTTTAAATTTCTTGTTATATTAAGTTTGTGCCTTCCGATGCCTGCTCACTCGTCAAAGCCATTTTCTATTCGTAGCGGACACGCCAAAGAGGGATGCCTGGGTTACGTTGGTGAGGCGTGAAATCCGTAACAACGGATAGTGACAGACCTCGTGTTGGACTTAACTAAGTCATGGTAAGAGGATGAATGACTTAGAGGCACACCGTTAGGTTAATAAATAAATTTAGTTCATCCAGCCAGAGTTGCAAAGTGTTGCAATTAGAAATAGTTCCTACTTGAAATAGTTTAACTATAGGGCAAGATGCAAAACACAATTATAGTTATATGAAATAAGGATCTAAGCTCTTAATGAATTTTATTTAAAATAACCTAGCAAACCAAGGGTTGTAATAGTGATTACAATTGGAAATTGTTCCTACCTAGTTAGATTAACTATAGGGCAAGATGCAAAGCACAATTATAGTTAAATGTAATGTGGACCTTGGCCCACTAAGGTATTTTTCTCATGAAGAAACCTCGAATCAACAAGTTACAGACTAGAGGGTGGTTGATTTGTTTAAAATAGTGGGAGAGTTTTTAATTAAAGTCCTAATTAATTACTTAATTCTTGATAATAACTATTTCGGAAATCATCTGTGGATGACCAGTAACAATCACAACCTCACCTTGCGTTTAATCCTAGACAAAGACAAGTTGACCGGGTCCAATTTCTTGGACTGGCAATGCAATCTCACTATTGTTCTTCGTCGTGCTTGAAAAGGTCATTCCTCCTCAACCTGATGCCACTGCTTCTAGAGCAGTTAAAAAAGCATATGACAAGCACGTAGATGATGACATTGAAGTGGCGTGTCTCATACTAGCTACTATGACGTCTGACCTCCAACCCAAATATGGCGAGGGTGTGTTGCACCAGGGGTCCTCCGGCACAAATATGTCCGTAAGCTAGCACACGTATGATTTGATCCGGGCAAGATTTTGCATTCTCACCCTAATGAGATTATGTCCCTAATACGTCCTTTGCAACATTCTTCTTCAAGCTATCGACCATCCAAGCGGGTGGTTTGGGATTCTTAGATGCCTTTTCCGAGGAGAACGATCTCATGGCTTCAAGGGTTTGCACTTTTCTCAATTTGATTCATGTTGAAGTTGTTCGGGTGGCCCTCAACACTACTTCGGCTTGGAGCACTTGCTAACTCACAGTTTGCATTATTCTCCATTATAAATAAAACATTGGTTCACTTAGTATTCTGCAAGTACACTAATCACGGGGTGCACACACCAACATGATTTTATTAGATTATGGAATTCTTAAAGGAAAATACATTCATATGAGAAGGAATTTAAGAGTCAACAACTAGTTCGGGCAAGTGTAAATATATAAATATGAAAGGTAAAAAAAAGTCAAAGCTCTTATTTTGAAAATGAGAAATGCTTGGTTCACAAACCCAAATTTCACAAACTTCACAAACTTACCATTTGTGAACTTCAATAAAAAAATTAAATAGTCTAAAATAATTTTAAAGTGATAATTTAAACCATAAATAGTAAGTTTGTGGAATTTATGATCATTCTGTTTGTGAAAGTAGCATTGCTCTTTGAAAATTTAAGATTTAAATTACTCATATTTAATGCTAGGGGCAATACATCGGGTCGTACCCAACATTCATTCAACAATATAACTTTTATCCACACTTTAATTTTTGTGAAATGTTAGAGGTATCCCAAAATCGTACACCATTTGTTCACTAAAGGATTATGTCTGTGCCCAAACAGACATAAAATATCTGCCCTTGTCTTTGGTATACAAATAGGGTACAATTATTAAGGTACCCCAATAATTTTCCTTAACTTTTTTATTCAAATGAAAAATCTTGTGATGAAGTGTACCTAGACCTGGCAATCAGGGCAATCGATTCGGTTTTAATTTGGGTCTTTTTGGTTCGGGTCTCTTTTGGATATATGTTTTAATCTGTTCGGGCCGGTTTGGGTCGGTTCAGTTCGGTTTTGGGTTAAATTTAATTTGAATTTTTTTTCTGATTTTGGTTCGATTTCGATTTGGTTTCATAGCGATTCGGGTTTACATCGATTTGGGTTTATACTCGTTCGGGTTTATACCAGTTCAGGTTTATATCGATTCGGGTTTGTACTGGTTTCAGAATGATCTCTTGGTATTAGAGTTTCTAATGTTAACCTTGTGTGTAGCCTCTCCTTCCAATGTGTAAAGGGAGCATATATACAAGTGTTCGCAATAATGAGCTAATATATCCATCAATGTGAGTTATGAGTTCACTATAAATTAAATAAACTTTGCATAAAAATAGACAACAACCTTAGTTCAAGTGATAAAACATGGGGCAAAAGATTTATACATTAAGGCCCCGTTCCGTTCAACTTATTTTTTTTGCTTTTTTTTTTATTCTTATTAAAATCAGATCAGACCAGTCTAGATCAGATCTAATCAGATCTAATCAGATCTAATCAGATCAGATGAGATCCAATCAGATTAGATCAGATCCAATCAAGAATTATTATTATTATTATTATTATTATTATTATTATTATAAATTTCATACTTTTTACTTGTTTCACTTGATACGATTCTTTCAAAAAATAAATTTGGAATTCAATGAGTGGGATTGAAGAGAATATAAGTGTGTAACATTTTATGCAATGTATTATTTATAGCATACAACGTTTTTTTGACAAGCACATCTAGCATGTAATATATTATTATACAAGATGCAGAAAAATGTATTATTTCTTTTCTTAACATAGATATTTTATAAGGATGAGATATTTTAATAAAAATACTATCTCTTTTCTATATTGATTATGTAAATTTTAATACTTTTTAATGTATATATGAATTAAAAATTTATTCCAATGTATATACGAACTAATCATTAAAATATTAAATCAATATTCTTATTACATAAAAAATAATCATAAAATAAAAAATATTATTACATTATAATATGAATGATTATTCTAATATATGAATCAACTGACTTGTTTCTTTAAAAAATAATCATAAAATAAAAAATATTGATTATATTATAATATGAATTATCATTACAATTTTCAAAATTAGTATAAAGTCAAATCAAATTATTGATTTGAATTTTAAATCAAATCATAATTAATCAGATTAGATCAAATCAAATCAAATCAGATTAGATGAGACCAGATCAAATCTAATCAGATCAGATCAGATCCAATCAGTTCAGATCAGATCTGAACTACAAAAAATCAAATCAGATCAGAAAAACTAAGTTGAACGGAACAGAGCCTAAATCAGTTTTACCTATAATTCAAATATGTTGTTCTTAGAAAGACATCAACCAATGAGCTATTAGATATGTCTGGATTTGAGTTTAATTTGTTTTGAACTTGATCAATATTAGGCCTAATCGGAATCGGTTTTAGGTCTAATCAGTTTCGGGTCTAATCGGTTATGAGTTTAATAAATTCAAGTTTAACCGGTTCGGGTTTAATCAGATCCGGATCTGAATTAGGTTTGAATACATTCATTTTGGTTTCGGTTCAGTTCATTTTGAGTGTTTGAGTTTAATTCAGTTCTTCAATTTTCAGGTCATTTCAGATTCAGTTCCGGATTATTCAGTTCAGTTTATCGGGTCCGAATTTGTTTTGCCAGGTCTAGGTATCGGTTAATCGGGTCCGGATCTATTTCTATTTGTGTTATCATGTCCTCTTTTTTCCTGATTTCAGCCGGCTGGTCTAAGTTCCCACTTACATGTCAAAGTGTGTCCACATTGAAGTTAGGTCCTATGTTAATTAGTTCCAACATGAGTCAACTTCTATTAATGTAAGAGACCAATTCAATAAATGCACATCAAATGGGACTTTGCCTCCATGCTTTGAAGACGTATATAGTTACATTTACGCCTACAATAGCAATAGAAGTCTTCCTATCCTAAAATACTCCCGTAATTGGCACCACCTCAATTCCTCAAACATGTAAGATTTGTGTACAGTAATACCAATATTATTTCGATCCAACCTCTAAATCCAACCACAAACTAGCAATATCTCAAATTGCTTGGGTAATTATATACATGAACCAAAAAGCAAATAATCATGTTCGATCATGAACCAAAAAGCAAATAAAAAGTTTATTTGTTTCTTAAGTTGAAAAAGTAAGGGTAAAAGTGGTTTTTTAATAGAAAGTGGAAGTGTTTTGTTGGAAATAAAAAAAATGAAAGAGGAAGTGTTTTAAAAAACGGAGGGAGTAGTAATTTATTTATTTCATCCAACCAACAATAGAATATGTAAATCTGATCATGACTGCTTCTCCTTTTGTGTGTAGATATAATCAAGGTGAGCCTCCAATGTTCTTCTCATCAAACATTCTTCTTCTCCTTCTCCTTTACAATTGCCTTCAACTTTCCATTTGTCATCCTATAATAATTTAGAAATTCATTAAATGCCAAGCAAAAAACATTACAAGGAAGAATAAAAACAACCACATTTTGTATATTCATGTCATAATGTACTCCCTCTGGATGTCATAGATCTTTCCGGACACTCTTCACATTGTCAAACTTAACTCACTTTGTTTGCTTATTTTTACTACTCATTCCATAAAATAATATAGTCTTGTCACCTCTAATTTTGTAAAAACTCTCATTTAATTGTTTACTATATAAATTTTATTTTTAAATTTGACCCCTATAATCAAAATGAATTGAATTGAAAATAAACACGGTCAAGCCTTGTAATGCGTAATGAGAAGATCTTAGATGGACGAAGAGAGTACTATTTATATTTTTAGTTTTTTTTCCAGACACATATTGTGAAATTCAACCATAATGACATTGCCGGGTAATAAGAAAATACTCTGCAATTTATAGGATTGTCTTGCAAAAGGCTTTCATATATACAGTACTAACTTTATCATGTTTTTTTCAAATCTATTACTTTTTCTACTCAAAGATCATCCTCTTTTGAGTTATAATTAAATTTTAAAGTTGGGTGTTAGAAAAAACGGGAAGGAGATGAAAGAAATTGGAAGAAGTTAGAAAATGTTAGAAGAATTAAAGTGTTAAAAAGTCATTCATTTAAATGATCACCCAAATAAATATACTCCGTATAAGAAAACTCTAATTTTGGATAAAAGGAATTCATCCTTGTCCGTGTTTGAAGTGATATGTTATAAATTTGGATATAAAAAACTATTGTATATCAATCGTATATAAATATATTTTTAAAGCCGTTAAAGAAAACTAGAAGCCGTTAAAGAAAATTAGAAAGAATTAGAAGAAACTGGAAAGAGTTAAAAAAAAAAGTTGATAGTTAATTTTTTTCTCAAAAGAATAGGACCTAAAAATAGTTGCAACATCATAGTTTCATGGATCAAGTATATGACGCCTGTTTCGGTTTACGATGTTTGACCGAAATTATTTTCAAATCATTTTATATGATAAATGGTATAAAGTTAAAAAATAAAAATTACATATTAAAATGCTACATCAAAAGATCTACAAAACTAGTAGTGACAATAGTACTTTATTTTATCAAATTGCTAACGAAAATAGAGAAAGCAAGTAAATGAAGTCTGACCTTGTGAATAGTGAACATGCATTATAATTTGGGACGGAGGGAGTATCAAATAACTAATGAAAATAGGTAAAGAAAGTGATTAAAGTTTAACCATGTGAATAGTAGCGAAGATCATTTTCGGATTAACACTATAAAAAAGAATGAGATTTTTTGCAAATAAGAAATGATCTACGCATCGACACATGAAAAGTGTGAAAAAAATTACATTTCACGTGTAGACCTTAGGATCAATGAAGCACAACTCGTAAAGAAAATCGCCCATTACGAAAAATCATTTATGAAATTTAATTCTATTAAATAAAAATGATCAAATGTTTGTTTAAGAGGCCTTGAAATGTTCAATTAGATAAACACAATAATCGGAACGGATCAAGTATATTTTTCAATGATTGAGATAATGGATGATGAAAGATCTGAATTTGGGACTTACGCCATGATTAGTCTCCATGGGAGTGATTTCGGAATAGGTCCGGACTGGCCGCGAGACACCGTGCGACGCCGCCAGCAGTAGGAGGAAGAAGACGAGGGTGCAGAAGCTTGTTACCTTTGACATTTTTTTTTTTTTGGTTCTTTCTCTCTCGCTATGTTTAGCCTTCAATCTCTAACGAATGAATGGTTTTGTAATGAATTACAGAGGAATATGGAGCCCCTCAAAAAAGGTAACTGTCGTATTGATTGCAAATACACACGTTTTACGTAGTATAAAATCATATCCCCAATTTTTTTTATAGAAAAAGGCGAAATAACACTAGTACCCTTCTTGATTTGGAAAATAGTTATCAATGCCATTGTGTTTTTGAAACTTATTTCTAAAACTAGTACTTCACCCGTGCGATGCACGGATAAATGTATTCCACTGTAATAAAATTCATAACATATATTTCGTAAAACATATATTGCAACACATATTAAATAAAGCATTTCAAAGTATTTGAATGTATACGTTAGTTCTAAAATTTGTAATTCAAAGTTTGCCAAGTTTAACTTGAAAAGATCAAACTAAACAAATACACTGAGACAAAGAAAGTATGTTTTATATTCCATTTCCTTTATAAAATATTTCATATATTATATAACAGTAATGTAATGTAATTTCTAAATTTCAGTATTCGAATTATTTATGTTTTGTATAATTAAGTACAATATTTTATAAGTTACTTTACTTTTGAGTTGAATCCACGTGTCAACATAGTCATTAAACATGAGGCCTACAGTTGCGAACTCATCCCATTTCATTTTCGGACCAGATAGAGAAAAAAGACCAGCAGAAAGAAATGTGAAGATGAAGAATCAACGCTGAATTTTTCCGGCGAGTGACAGCACGTGCAGCGTATTCGGAAAATTCAAGGCCAGATCAATTCGAGAAAGGAAAATCGCAAGATTTTATAGAAATCCGAGCTGGATGTAGAGTGATAGTTCAAAGGTAAGAACAGCTAATCGACAATTTTAAAAAATTCTCTTTTCGCATCTTTAATTTTCAATCTAAAATATGAGATCAGATTTAGTTTTATATGCATATAAAGGTAATTTCGAAGGATGAGGGCATTTTTTTAAAATTAGTGTTGCTTTAATATTTTTTTTATGATGTTTTAATTGAAATGTTGAATTGATGTTCATTCCTTGATGCATGCAATATCTAAATATCCAAAAGTGACAAAGTAAAGGTGCAAGTTTTTTTTTTGTGATGAGGTCAAGTGTCATTATTGTGTACAAATAAATTCTTTTTTCCAAACTGTAAACTTTTCAGTTCAAAAATGTTTACTTTTGTGCCCAAAACTGTAGAAAGCCATTTTTTTAGACATCTAAATGTAATGGATTAAGAGGATAAAACAGAACATATTTGCACAATCAGTTCCTCATTTCTATGTAAATAGAATTTCAGAAAAATGTCAAATATTCGTGAAAACCTCTTTATACACTACATTTGTCGTTTCACAATCTGCTTTATCTTGATCATTGCATATCAAAATCCTCAATCCCGAACGACTTCTAACCCTTGACATTGCAACATACAACTGCCCATGACAAAATACTGTTTTTTAAAGAAGAACACCAACCTTGGATAGCGATTGTCCTTGGCTTTTGTTTATTGTCATTGCATAAAAAACCATGACTGGAAATTGTTTTCTTTGAAACTTAAAAGGTAACCTTGTATCTGATGGTGTCAATGAGATCCTAGGAAGTAATATCTTTTCCCCAGCATTCTTTCCAGTAAGTTGTTTCGCTTCTAAGACACGATTCCCAAACCGTGTTACAATAAGTCTTGTGCTATTACACAACCCATTACCATGGTCGATATTACGCATCAACATAATTGGTGTTCCAACTTTGAGTTTTAATTCATGATTAGGAACCCCTGAACATTTTATGGTATTTAGAAACTCAGTGGTGTGCAAATCTCCAACCAAGCTATAGCCCATGTCAGATTGGCATATGGTATCTGCACTGTAATAAACACGTTCTTCGGAACTGTTCTTTGACATCATGTAATTGTTTACTGCTTCAACAACTTCCAATGTCGGGGCTAATATAGCTCTATCTTCTAGCATAGTACTATCAACAGCTAGAGCACAACTTTCAGGGAATATCTCTTCAACAATAGATTGAATTGGGTCGTTACTATGTTCTACCAGAAGATCTGGTGGAATTGTAATATCAACCACGCCATCATTTGGACCACCTGCGTTACCATCACCAATACTGGCAATCCAATCTGTGAATTGTTAAACTTCAGTTGAATTATGCAAATCCTTATTTGCTAGGCGCATATTCTTCGTGAGTTTCAAGACATTGCAATCTTTCCACAAGTAAGAGGAATTATTTGTCGCATTGACAATATCTTGTCTCGTTCCTTTAGGCACCACAGGCAAGATTTGTCTAAAATCCCCACCAAACACTATTGTTATTCCACCAAAAGGTTTGAATTGATTACCTGCATCTTTCACTCGCAATATATCCCTTGAAGTCCTATCCAAAGCTTCAAAGCAATACTTGTGAGTCATTGGTGCTTCATCACATATTATAAGCTTAGTTTTTATTATGAGCTCTGCAAGGGGACTACCTTGGTGAATATTGCATGTCGAGTCTTCATTAGGAGTGATAGGAATTTTAAAACGTGAATGTGCGGTCCTCCCACCAGGTAAAAGTAGAGCTGCAATTCCACTTGATGCAATAATATGTTGTTAGTTCAAATGCTTATAAAATAAGGCAAAAAGACTGATGATACCTGTGTGCTAGAGTTGTCAACAATATATCGTCCAAAAATATTTTGGTCAGTAATAATCTGCTGGACTGAATAGGTTTTTTCAGAGAAACTGGATTCTGTCTTTTAGACATCCAACTCTAATAAGAGTGGCTGATCAATGATGGACTTAAACACATTAGGGATTTGAGAGTCATCACCCTGTAAATACTCTTTAAATCAGTATTTTTAAAGAATAAGTACTCTTTACATGCAATTAAACTGGTTTTTTTTAACTTACAGTATCCCTTAAAAAGTCTTCTGCCTTTTTTCCAAATAGGGATATACAATGCTTGTCCCATAACATCAATGCAAGATTGTCCATATTGTCAACCACACGTACTTTGACTCGATACCTATGTGTTATGAACAAAAAGGGGATTTTTGCTTCAAAGCTTCTGTATTTGCTGCTATTACACAAATTTCAAAGAATATGTTACATGTACTCCCTCCATTCCTAATTATCTGTCTTTTAAGGTTAATTCACGTTTTTTAAGAATGCATTAATTTTTTAGTGTAAATCCTAATATGCCCTTAATTAATCTGAAAGCATGCATGCCCATACTAATTTACGGAGTATTATTCCTACTGCGCAGTATTCCTACTAACAAAGCATTATTAATATGGCATTTGTTTTCATACTAGCTGTCCACTTCCGATGGAAAATTCAAACTCTAATCCAAATCTTCTTCTCGTTCTCCCAAGGTGGTGTAGATTCCCAAGGAAATTACTTTTAGTATTTGGTTCATGCTCCCAAGGAAATTACATTTACTTTGTACTTAAAACTTGAGTTGTACTCCTAAAATACAAAGGGGTAAATAGTCATTTCATTACACATTATTGCATTGGATCTTGTAATGGACAGTTATTTGTGGACAAATAAAATTTCCATAATGGACAGATAATTAGGAATGGAGGGAGTACCTCATAACAAATCCTGTGAGGTGGCAAGTGCCACAAGTATAGATACCATTTGTAGCGGATAGCTTCTTCGAGCACTTCTTACATGATGTGTAACACCAAGCGCCATGCTGTTCAAAAGCAATAACCTTACAAAGAATCCATGCACGGCCCTGCAGTGAATATTTGTGAATAATGTTAAAACTACTACAAAGAACATTTAGCTGGAAACTGTAGTATGTAAGATCACTTAAAACTAAATTTAATGTGCTTTCAGTGGGTGTGTGGTACATTGTCAAATTATTAAGAAGTATAGAAAATATATTTAGGCAGAATACAATCTTTTTTTAAACCTACTGAAAAATTTTACAGAGGTTATGTGGTAGTAGATAGACAACAAATAAAAGGAGTATCTGCCTCTATTTTTGATATGGAGTTTGATAGGGTATGATATGCTTCTAAATATGATTATGTTATGGAGTATTTGCATGTTTATGTTGATGACATCTGTGAAGCCGAATTTGAATAGGTTATGAATGTTTAGTTCTTAGTTACAGTCTGGATACAGATTTTATATGCTAGCACACAAAATAAAACCTCTTTTCCCTCAAGTAGTAAACTCGAGTAATGTCGAAATAAAAAAATAAACATGACACTCCTAAGTAACTGGAAATATGCAAACATGTACTTAACCTGTCGTCATTTGTATTCTGTCACTCAAAAAATAAGAGTTATAAACATATATTAAGACATAATGTATACATAGAGTACTCGTATACATATATACCTCATAGTTATCAGTGATTTGTTGTAATGTCTTTATCTCAATACTTGAGGGTTCTGATTTGGATGTAGATGCACTGAAGCTTAGTACATTTTGGGTTGTCACTCCCTTCGCCTTTAAACTGTAGCAAATTTGTTGTTTCATCACATGAATGTATGAAAGCAATGGTAAATTACATAGGGCATACAAATGTATAAAATACTTCTTACTGTTTTTTGAACTCCAATATAGGCAGGAAATCCTGATCCAAAATGAGTTTTGTAACATCATAAAAGGTCGAGGCCTTGTTCATATCTGCATAACATTTGATGTGTTAATCAAAATTCATGTCTTATGTTTAAACTGTGCAGTTTTTTAGGAATACCGTGGTAAAAAGCTCTTTGACAGAACTGCATAATAGCCACCGTCGGATGCAGTGGTTGTTGGTTGAGATAATCCAAGAGTTGATCCACATATGAGCTCCATAATGTGCAAGACATTTTCTGACCACTAAATGTAGAGGTAAGTATTAATAAAATAAAAATATTGTGCAAGGTAAATTAATTAAAGAAATCAGTATGAGGTGTACTCTAAATCTTCAAGCCAAATATCCATCACTCTAACTTTGGTACCACTTTTTCCAATTCTTTCAGTTGGCGGTTGATCAACATGCAGTAACCCAATAACATCTAAAATGACATAAGACAGTTTTGTCATTATTAAGACTTGTTTTTTCAAAGGACAATATTGTGTTAAATTGAATGATAGACACTTACCAAACATGGGTCGATACTGAATATCTGTGGCTGCATTGAGGGCTTTAAAATTTCCAAACTTGAACATTATCTCAGGGAATTCTTCATCGTTGACATGTGTTATCACTGTGTCTTTAACAAATGACAGTTTGTATAGATGGTCAGTCAAATTTTGAGTATTCCTTGACACAATGGGATTCTCTATTCCATGCACTTGTCCCTCTTTTAATAGAGGCTTGAAGTATGGGATCAAATGTTTTTCACAAAATGCATGTATACGGTTTCCCTACATATTAGAAACGATATTAAGAAGTGCATACATGAGATTCAAAGAATAAAAATATGTTGGTTTTCCTACATATTGTAGACGATATTAAGTATTGCACGCATGAAATTCAAAGTAAAAAACATGTGGATTTTAGTTGTAACATAAAACCTGTTCATCTTGGAAAATTGCTTCGTGTGCATAGATTGTGCTCGGTGTAGTTGTCCTCGTCTTACGATTGTAGCTTCGTAGGAGTCTTAGTTTCACAGCATCCTGATGCCTGGCTGGGTGCAGCCTCCTGAGAGGGACCCAATGGGGAGACATTTTGTTTTACTGGAAATTGTGAATATACTCAGAATAAAGATGATGAAGTATATATACTGTTGCAGCGATGCCTTCATGTAACCGCCAGTTTCTTCAAAAAAATCAATCTCCAACAGTTTCACAAATATCGTGGGAAGTATGTTTCGCAGTTTGTGGTGTCGTGGGTGGGAGATTGCGCAGGGTGGGTTTAGGTTTTTTTACGCACGTTGTATTGCCACGTAGTTGAAATTGGGCCGTAGATATGTTTCAATGTCATTAAAATTGGACCATTGATTTTGGATTTTGGCGGGTAAATTAGGCAGTGGATTTTGATTCGATTTTTATATATATAATAGATTCTCGTAGTTTTAAAATGTCACACTCATACTCTTGATCATTTTTTGGCCATTTTTCCGGTGAAGAAGAAGCATTGGTGCCTATTTTCCAAATCATATGGGGCATTGGTCTTGTTTTTTTATTTTTCATTTATTTTTTTCCCTTTTTTGTTTCTTTTATTAACCAATGTTTGTTTTCAATTTTTTTTTTAAAATTTTTTTGTAATGTTCTTAAAATTTAATTTTTTTTTTAAAAAAAAAATTAACATACTACGTATATTATATACTACAGTCTTAAATTAACAATTTTTATTTTTTTCAAAAATAAAAAATAAAAAATTCTTTTGAGAACTTCAAAAAATGAGGAATAAAATAAGATGTAAAATAAAACAAAAAAATAAAAATGAATTTCGTAATTGAACTTTCCAGGTCTAAGGACTTTTTTTAGGCGTTTTGAAAATTTGTTTTTGTATAAGACTCTTTTTTAAGGTGTTTCAATCTTTTCATTTTGGTTTTCCATATTTTTATTTTTTTATTTTTGATTTTACTTTCTGAACTTACCAAAAATATTATAGAAAACAAAAGTTAAAATATTTAAATTTGAGATTGATGAAGTATATTTTAATTTTTTAAATTTTTATTTCAAACACAAAGAATTTTGAATTTTTAAAAACATTACTAAATATTTAAAATAAATAAAAAAATCTAGGAAAGGGAAACAAAGTGATTAAAAAGTTAGAAAAGGAAAAAAAAGTAATAAACGAAAAATAAGAAATGAGTGTGTGTGCCCTCTATGGTTTTGAAAATAGGCACCAATGCCCCCTCTTTGTTGAAAAATGATCGGATGAGGTGAGAGTGCAACATTTTGAAACCAAAAGAACTATAAAAATTAGTTTAGAAAACAGAGGGAATATTGGTATCAATTTTCCAAAATACATGGAGCACTGGAGCTATTTTGCCTTTAAAAAACTATTTCTGTTCCATGTGGTGACAAGAAGATTACTCAAAGTTTCTCCTCATCACTATTTGAACCTTATACATGCACTTAAGATGTTAAGGTAATATAAGTGAACAAATACTAAACTGGTTGTATATTCTCAAAAGAACAATTCGTAAAATTTTTAAAGTTAAAAGACTAATCATCCAACATTGACATGACTTGAATGACTATTCATGAAAATTTAAAAGTTCAAGGACTAACCATGTATAACGCAATAACTTGAAGGACCAACGGTGTAATTTAATCTTCCCAAAAAATGTTATTATACCGAAATAGGAAATGGAGAAAGTTGTTAATATATAATAACAAAAAATAATACAGAGTATGAAATACTAGCATAAAATATCAAGTAGTACTTCTATATTGCACTGTCCTAACACATCTATTTCTCTTTTTTATAGGATTGCAGAAACAGAGTTGATTGTCGAAAAAGCTGGAGGAAATTTGAGAAAAACTAGAGAAACCACAAAAGGAACACTCTAAGGGGTTGGAAGAAACTAAAAAGAATTAAGAAATATTAGAAAAAAAATAAAAATTGGTTGAATATATGGTTATATTTTTGAAATTTTATATTTTATCAAAATAAATTTATACATCATTAATTTTATTTATTTGAATTTTAATTCTTTTTATTTATTTCTATGCCACACTATTTTTTCAAATAATATTTAGAAATATATTTTATTACTCAGACATATTATTATTTTTTCATACTCTCCTAATTTTCAAATTAATATCAATAGTACAATTTTTTGTTTATTAATATATATCGATTTGTTTTCTCCCATGTCTATCTCCTTCGGCTAGATCTCTACCCACACCCCATCTTCCCTCTCCTTTCTCCCTTTCTTCAATTGGCTGGTGACAGTCGATGTGGTTCCCGGGATATCATCAGTCACACGGTCACACCTATCATAAAAATTACTGAAAGAATAAGTACAATCAACATTGATGTGGGCAGAGATTTGAAGCAAGTGGAGTGAAATATTATATCCTAAGCATTTTAATGTCAAAGGCGTGTGACTGATGTTGGTGATTTTACTGTCATCGGATATTTTAAGTGATTAGGTTTACTTAAATGAGACAAGAATTTGAATATACATTGTCAAACGAGTTAGGAGGTGCGGAGTACACAACTATTCAACGATATTAGAAATTCATAGTGGGGGTACGGGGGCGATAGACCCTGGGAGCAGGGTCCAAGGGGCGGCAGCCCCTGGTGGGGTCTAAGGGGCAGAGCCCCTAGCCTTAGAAATTTTTTATTTTGGACATTATTGTTTATGAAAATCCTTCACATTTTCATGAACGGAGTCCAAAACCTTAAAGATTCGGACATTTTCATGGATAGAACGTTAAAATTGACCATAGAACTGTAGAAAACTCTTTGTGCAAACGTTCATAACACTACAAAAAACAAGTTGGATGACGACAGAAAAATTCTGTCGCCACTCATTAATTGCCATAGAAAATTGAGTGGGACGACGGAGTTGGTGACAGTATCAATCCGTCGTTGTATTTTTTTAGTATTGAAGATGACAACAAAATTCTGTAGTTCATCGTTATGGGTGACAAAACTCGCAACAGAAAATGCAGACACAATTGATGTAGGCAACAGAATAATTCCATATTGAGATTCTGTTGTTCTTTCCGTCGCTAAACTGACAGATTCTACAATGATTCAGCTGTTTTTTTTAATGAAATCAAGCAACAGACAAATAGGAAAAATTCAAGCAATCACACCTACACCAAATCCTCACAATGACAATGCTATTATTAATAACCAATCATAACTAGACCAAATTCAACAATCATAAGAAAAATAAATGTTTTAGCAGATCTAGTTCCAGATCGAAAGACATTGTACGTAGCTAATAAAGTCAAGTGAAATAACAAATACTTTGTTCTAGAAAAGTCTCAAGCCCCTGCAATGCCCGTTCCCCCCGTGCCTCCATCACCATCTCCATTTCTTGGTGGGATAACTCCTCCATAGAGTCGAGTCATCTCTTCTTTAATCGTTAGCAATTCACTCGCTTGAGATGATATCATCTCATCAAGCTCTTCTCTCAATTTCCTTATCTCATCATCATGAGGGTCCCACATTGAGCTCATACTAGTACATTTCGCCTGAGTCCCATGCATTCGTGGGAGGCTCAATGCAAGATCTCTAACACCATGAACTTGATTTCTTAGCATCATGTCCACCGACTGTAGTGATATAGATCTTGTCTGATTTCACATTTAAGCTCTCCTCACGAATCGCCTCTTGCATAGCTATGCAGTTTTGCTACAATACACAAAACATAATGTATAATCCATTACAATAATATTTGAATATATAATTACTATACATATATACTCTCATTATCACTTATTGAGACCTGTTTTGCCCTATCGTTTATGTGGGTCTTCCCATCGTATTTTATTGTATGACATGTATAACTTCTTTAGCCTGGTCGTCAAAGAAAAATAGATAATGTGAAAGATGAATTAATTTCATTGATTAACAAAGAGAGGTTCCCCCTCTATATATACACATCAAGGTATCTAATTATGGTAGTATTGTACAAAGGAAACATATACATAAGGAAAACACTACCATATTGTTGGTCTTATGGGGGACCATCGATCACCCTTAGGAATTCGCTACTGTGCTTGTCGCGGTATCGCGTATTGACATCCAAACCTGAAGAGCTACATGATTCGTGTATCTTGCGAAGCCCCTCCTGTTCATCCACTGCTCAGTAGTGGGGCTGCGCACTGCCGTAGTAAACTGTAGGGGTTGCCTAATAGGAATCTACCTCGGCTTGTGGCTACAGAGAGATGTGGTTAAGTAGTAAGTGTCCAACTTCCTATCACCAATTGGTTTTAGGAAGCATTTGGCACCTCTTTAACTTCAGAACTCTGTAATTAAGCGTGCTGGAACAAAAGTAGTCCTAGGATGGGGGACCCACTACGAAGTTCGAAAAATCGATCCTACAAGTGGTATTTGAGCAAGGAAACATGCTCGAATCCTCCAGGTGTCGCTAGGGTGGGAGATTTAAGGTTTGTTTTCTTTGCAATTTCCTGACGTTAACCCATAAAATCCATCCATGAAGATTATTGGTTTCGATTTTGAGTTCCACCAAAAAGAAGAACAATTGAGAGAGGAGTGATTGCTTCGATTTTGGATTTAGAGCTTCAAACTCAGCGACAGGTTTGGGATTGAGTAGGAGAGGAGAGAGGAAACTTATTAATTGAAGAAAGAGTAGTGTGAATATACAATTTTATCCATGTTCTTAACGAAATGTTAACAAATGACTATTTTTGGGAAAAAAAATATAATAATTGGGGACTAAATTATTGATATTTCATATGTAGGGACTAAATATGTAAAATGACCTATAACTGGGAACCTTTTATGCCATTTACTCTAATAATAATTTATAATAACAAGAATTAGAATGAGAATAATATAAAAATATACTAAAATAAAATTTTTTAATGTTTTTTTAGGTTTTCCAATTTTTTGAAGTTTTTTCAGTTTCTTCCAGTCCTTCTAGTTTCTTCTAGTTCCTTCGAGTTTTTCCAATTTCTTCCAACATCTAGTTCTTTTTTTCCGGTTCTAAAAAACATGCTCTAAAATGTTTAGATTGGACTGCATAGAATTAAGTAGACCTGGCAAAACAGAACCGGAACCGATTACTCGAACCGAAATATCCGAAACTGAAACCGAAATGACCCGAAAAATGAAGATCCGATCTATAACCGAAAATCCGAAATGATCCAAATCGAACCGAAACCGAACTAAACAATTCATATCCGATTTAAATCCGAAACCGATTAGATCCGAAACCGATAATATCCGAACCGATTAAACCCGAAACCGATTAGATCCGAAACCGATTAGATCCAAAACCGATAATATCCGAACCCGACTAGAACTAAAATCGATCGATAATTCGGAACTATGTTTGCCTTTCTATAAACATATTATATTATTAAATTTTTACTTTTATTTTACTATTTGAACTAATTACATTACTTGCTCATTCCCTAATAAAATGAATTATCTTCTTGAAAAAAAAGTACGGAGTATAAAATTTCATGCCTCAAATTTATTATATGTAGAAATTAAAGATAAGTTATACATATAAATGATAACCCACAAACAAATAAAATTAAAGTAATTTAAATAGTTAAGTGTGATATTCTTTTTGGAACGAAAGGATTATGAGAGAAAGACCAAAATAGGACTAAAACATTGAAAATATACCGAAATAGGACTTCCATATTTTTATTCCCAAAATAGGACTTACATTACCAAACATGGTCATATACATTACCAATAAAGTATAGTAATTTGCACATGTACACTGCCACATTACCACAATACAAAGTCACATTACCACAATGCAAAGTCCTATTCCGGGAAAAAAAACATGAAAGTCCTATTTTGCTACTTTTCTCTATGTTTTAGTCATATTTAGGATGATTTCTAAAGGATTATATGATGAATTGTATCGAATAACTAGATTTTATCTAATTTCATCGCATTACAATAAATTTTATTGGTTTGAGAGTTAATTTGATTAGTTTCAAACCAATTCACTCAATATTAAGCAATAAAATTAGATGCTAGTGTTAGCATTTTGAAAAGACTCTCTAGCGGCAGTATTTAGTGTTATCATTTTTAAATTTGATCTACACCATTACATTTAGGTGTAAAATTAATTATATTTGACTCTATTAAATTTAATTTTATCTATTTTCAACCAAATACACTCAATAATTTATAAATTTTGTTCTCAATTGAATAAAATTCACTTAATTTCACCCAATTTCACTCAATTTTTACCAAATTGTATTCAAATGGAACATTGTTAACCTTGGTTTGCTAAGCCTCATGTTTTGATGTTAACAAACAATATAAGAGCTTGACGTTTGTTTAAGTGTTTCAGGTACAACAAGAATCCATTAAGATTCGGTTCTCAAGAATGAAGTCGAAACACTAAACTAGCGTAGAATTTAGGTAGAAACCGATGTAAGGATATGATTTTATATACCTATATTCACAAGCTCAAAAACACTCACAAAATATGTTTAAAACCCTTTTATAATCATTTTCAAACAT